CGCCTTCAAGCTGTAACCGATATAAAAAGTATAAACGGGGTCATTTTTATAATTCTTATAAAGTTGACAATACTGCTCGAGGTCATTATTCTAAATAAAAGAAATTTTTTTGATGTCGGCTCTAATTTTAACCCTTACGGAATGTCGCTCATATTTTTTAAGCACTCTCGTGTAGACCTACCACTAGATCTAGACTACTGAAAACAGAAGAGAGACCCAAGGGCCAAACTGTCCGCCGCTCTCTCCTCCACCTCCCACGCAGCGTAGCAAGTCACCGTTGGGTCCTCCAACATCCCACCTCAACTCTTAAGTCCTATCAGACTCTCTTCAGACCAATCGAACCCAACGGATAAGGTCCAACTGCCCTAGCTGCTTGCTCCTCCACCTCCAGCGCAGCGTAGTGAGTCACCGCCAGACCGCCAACCCCCACCTCAGCCCTTGAATCTTATAAGCCAATGTTCTGACCGCTCGAGCCCAACAACTAAGGTGCCAAGTCGACTGCGTAGTGACACCTCTATGGCCCTCTCCTTCTTTATATGTTAACAGGCATAACGTAGCAGGTTGGTCAGTATTGCTTAATTCAGCAGCCTATGGGTTATCTATTGATTAATGGCTGATTATCTTCTTAGATTTTTAACTTATTTTTTGAAACTTAATCTGAAATTTTCGTTGTTGTTTGCTTGATTTTGTCCAGATTTGGTAGTTATTTTAGTCTTAATTAACATTGAGTAATTGTTGAAGCATTTAGTAGTGGATCTTATTTCATCATTTAGTTGGGTTAATTGGCAACCTATGCATTCCAGAATTCTTAAATTTCCATACAATAAGATTTATACTCCGTATAATCGAAGTTTTACATTAGAGCTTATAATGGATGTGTATGTTCATTTAAATATGCGGTTTAAGTTATTCCTAATTAATTAACATAGACAGGAAAAACTTGAGCGAAATATTTTAGGAAAAGCCTGTTGGAGTAAAATGTTGTTTCTTTTCTATGTATCTAGTTTAATGCTGGCGAAGTCTTTTAGTTTGAACTTAAATTTTTTGTTTGGGTGCTAGTGAAAGTTAATTATAATGATGATGAGCTTTCAATTTTTCTCTTCTTCTACCTAGTTTTATACTAATAGGTTTCTGCAAAACAAATTATAAGAAAATAAATGGAATTCTAGAAACTATGATTATTTCATCAACATAAAGTATATAACGGGTGTTTAATTGAATCCAGTTACAGCCATATAGCTCTAGAATATAGGGAGATATGACTCGAGATACTTGCTGGCTTTTTTTGAAGCTAAGAAGCTTCAGAAGTTTCACTTCTTTTCCCGAGCATAGCAGGCCTATTTCTAATGGATAGATGTTGGTCTTGTATAGGTTTTTCTGCGTTTGAGGTTCAAACTTCTCTATATGTTTACATTGTTCTAGAAACACGTAAAATATACTCCTCCGCCTATCTCGTTTTAGTTAGTCAAACTTGACTTTTCAAGTCAATGATGTTTAATTTTGACCGATTACACAGACAATTGCTTGTCAAATGTTGATGGTACACATGAGTTTCTTTTGACTGGTATACATTGAGAGTATAATATTTAATCTGATTCTTCTTCATGCCAGCAGAGAGTTTTTCTTATCAACTTGGGTTTTATGCTTCTTTGGCTTTTGACTACCCTAACTTTGATTACACGCCTCTTCAATAGAAGCATTGATTCTAGGTTTTTATCATGGGCTGGTAATATGCTTTTATCCACCAAACTGTTGAAACCCTTTTGCATCTATTGTAGACACTTCTCAGAAATTTATCTGCAAGTGTTGCTTTTTTGTTTCTGATCATGAATGATGAAGGACCACAATGTACTTTAAAACCATTTTTGACCTGTTTTATAGTTTAATGGTATGGATTCTTTCAGCTCGGCATGAGAAAATACTGGACAAACGGCTTCATAGCCTGATTGAACAGCTTGCTGCTAAACAGGTAATTTGTTAACTCATAAGTTCATAGCTCATATCTCTTCTCTGATGATGGTAACTGTTGATGAAGAACTTTGTTCCTCAACCGTCCGGAGTTGTTCAATTGGTTTGAACTTGGGAACAAAAATTCTCGGTCGTAGGACAACTGGCGGTTTATCAGTTGTTAACTTCAGGGACCGCATGATTAGTCAGGCAAAAAGGTCCCGAACACCTGTGGTTTTAAAAATATATTGAATCATGTATGCTCACCCCCCCCCCCCCCCCCCCCCTTTTAGGCGCAAGCAGAAGGCTTAGTCAATGAGATACACAAGAAGTGAAACTAGAAGGATTGAATGGCCTTCAGCGGAGGTCTGTGACTAGCAACACAGACACGATTAATGCAAGGAGCAGGTATCGAAGAAACGGCTTTGACAGAGGACACATGTCAGATTACATCGTTGACCCTCGTCAGAAACCCCCTTCACGCTGGCCGAACTGAGAGCATTCCGAATCAAGTTTTGCTAAGGGCAGCTTTTGTTGTTTATATTTTCGCTCTACATATCTTAGTTTTTATCAAAATTTCATTTTGATAAGTGATGTACTGCCAAATGCATAAAAGCATGCTCATAACAAAACAGAAGGCTTTGTCATGAATTGCTTGTTTATGAACTTGTAATCTATAGTACATAATTTTAAAAACATTATACATAAAGTGATTAGAACTTCTAACAAATTTGTTTGAGCTAAAAAAATTCACTTGCGAGTTGTGATAGCATGGCATTTGAAATGTGATAGTGTATAGAAGCAAAAGTAGGAGGTTTTAGCTGCGGAGTCATATATATTTTTAGACAATATATATTTTTAGTATGAATTATAAATTTTATTATGTAGCAAATTTAAATAAAAATGTTACATTTTAAAATATAAAATCACTTATATATATAAGTGACAGTAAATGCGATTATTTTTTTTATTTATAAAATCGACTTTCTATAACGGTTGGTGGTTTAACCCTTATAAAAAGGATTGTATATGGGGTATTACTGGACTGACATCGAAAACATTCGATAACGGTTAAATTCGTAACCGTTATAAAAAAACATTCTATAAGGGGTACGACTACCCGACATGAAAAGAGCCCGACTTTCTATATCGCTGGCTACTATGTCGTTACGGGAACCGACATAAAAAGTGTTTTTTAACCCATATAGAAAGTGTTTTCTACACTAGTGAATTTAGCCCTTTTTTATTTTATTGGATATGTTTGGATCTATGAGAATAAGGATGGTTGTGTCAAGCCCGCTGCATGGTTATCGATTCATGTTGCTCTTTCAGGGGTAACCGTCTCTAAGTCTGATCATAGAGTTTACAATAGTAGTTGTTGGAGTTTAGTTGGTGTGAGATTTGTTTTTTCTTTGATTGATGTAATGATCCTAGAACTTTTGATACGAATAGATGCAAGTTTTCGTTCAAAAAAAACTAGTACGGGGTATGTTGGTGAATTAACTTTTTGTGTGTGTGTGAATAATCAAAACATGATCATGACATTGGTGACGTGTTTTGCTTATGAATAAGCTATTCACAGACAAAAAATATCATTTAACCGAAATATCTACTCATACATACTATCCTTCTCTTTTAATCGCAACATGTTGAATTTACACTATTCACATACTCTATTTTGACTACATTTTACGCTATTATTTTATGAAAACTATTTTTTTAAAAAATATTGTTCAATTCATCTCATTACAAATTTTCAAAATCTGATTTTTAATATTTTTTTACTAATAGAATTAAGATATAATTATGGTCAAAGACGTGCGTTGACAAATGTGAAATGTTGACCGTTGCAACTAAAAAAGAACGGAGGGAGTATAACAAAGTGTGTTAAAAAAGGAATTTTCCTTTTAATTTTGAAAAATTGATATGTATATTACTAATAGAGTTTCATCGGATAAAATGTGATGAATTTGCGTTAGGACTGAAAATATGACTAGTCACTGTTTAGGATCAACTGGACAAAAGTCATTATAATGTAATTTTAGGTCAAAAGTAACTGATTGATAATGAGTTACTGAAAACTAGTCACTGAAGATGTCACATTTTATAGAAAATTTTGTAATAAGTCAAACAAAGTATTTTTGTCATTTGAATTTAATTTAGTACTCCCTCCGTTTCTGAAACAAGTTCCACCTTTCCTTTTTGGGCAGATTCAAAATCAAGTTCCACTTTCAAACATTTCCTTATTATATACATCAAAACAGTGTCAAACAGTGTCAAACAGTGGTAAACAGTGTTCAAACAGTGCCAAATAGTGCACTCCACAGTAAAGTCAAATTTATTTTCTTAATATGTGTGAAGTCAAATGTGGAACTTGTTTTGGAATCGGAGGGAGTACTACATACCTTTGCCTTCTAACATTGAGACAAAAATGAATGATCTAATTCTTTAGAAAAGCGAAATTGTGTGATTGATATTAAATTAATAAAGTGTAAATATAGTAAAAATGAATGGTACGCAACCAAATTTTAGCAAATATCGAATGAGACAAAACTAGAACCGGTTTGTTAATACCCAAATAGGCTGCATTGGTTGATTCTGCTGAAATTTATTAACTTGTGACTGAATTGGCTGGATTAGCTGATTCCGCTTATCTATAAAAAAATATTTTATTTAAAATATATTGTATTAATTAAATAAATAAAAAAAATTATGAAAAATAGCTGAAATGGTTCTTTACAGTTACTTTGATCAATACAACCACAAAAATAACATCAACCTTACTTTTTCTTATTATTACACAGTTCAGCGTTCAAAAAAACAGTTACATGTTTGATGAAAGAATTAGCTGATAAGCCTGATAAGCCAAAAAATAGAGTCACCAAACCAACTCTTAGTATAGTATGATGAACAAAAAGATAAAATGAGATAAAAATAGGGAAAGCAAAATGTAATATTCATGAAAAAATGCACTTAATTTTCCTACCACCAACTTGGCGTGCAAGGAAGGTATTGTATGCGGTAATGAAAGAAAATAAAAGCGTAAAAAAGTGTTTCAATCAAGATCCCCATTTTTTATTTTTCATTTAATTAGCTCCAAATTATACAAAATTCCCAAAAAAAAAAAATCAAGAAAATAAGGAAAATTTTCAGGCAATCACACAAATCAATTCACTTAATTTCTCAAGCTCCAACTCAATCCTGCCACAAGCAGCTCTCGAAGTCGCCGGAAAGCACCGTCTCGAATCCGTCGCCTGCGACGGCCGTTGCGTAATAATTTCCGCCGCAGTCCTCCACGCCGTGCGACCAATGGTGGCCGCAGTAGTCCCACCAGTACGAGTCAACCAACGCGTACTCGTTCCGAGTCGACTCGGTGCTCTCCGCGAGATCCGGCAGCTCCACTATCTCCTCCAGCTCCGATGGGCTCGGCGACGCGGCAGCCTCCTCCTCCGCTGACGTGACGGTGGAAGAGGACGGCGACGACGTGCACGGAGAGGACGCAGCGGCCACGGGCTGCTTGTTGGAATTGTCGTGCTGCGGCTCGAGGTGGTCGACGTCCATCTGAGCTGCTTGGAGGGCGGCGACCTGGACGTCACGCGGGAGGCACGTAGCCGGGCGAGGGAAAAGCCCGACTAGGTCAGGAAAGTTGAGGAGCGCGGAGCGGCCCTTGATGGACATGGCGGCGACGTCGTGGGCCCTGGCGGCCATCTCCGGCGTGGCGAAGGTGCCGAGCCAGATGCGGGATTTCTTCCTGGGCTCCCGGATTTCGGATACCCATTTCCCCCACGCACGCATTCGTACGCCGACGTACGACGGATGCTTCAGATCAGTCTTCCGGCTGCCTCCGCCGGCGACTTCTCTCCGGCGTTTGTGTGAGGGGGAGGAAGATGAATTGCAAGTAGACTCTTCAGTTAAACACAAGAGTGGCTCTGCCATTAGTAATTACAGTAGAATTAGTGCACTGGCTGTATGTATATTCTGAATGGATATATCTATATATATCTTTTAATTTGCATTCACTCAATTTGCTTATAAGTGTGTATGACAGACAGAAAGGAGCTTAGCTATATAGCCTGTAAGCTAGAGGGTGAGGAGAGTTGTGGGTGGAGGAAAGAATCATAGTTGATTTTTATGGGTTGGAGATCCCTTTATATATTGATATATTGAGATGAGAGAGAAGATGGGATGAAAGAAAATTACTCAACATATTCCTTTTTTAGAAGGGCAACATCCCAACATTTCCATTTCTAGTATGTTTTAGTGTGTTGTTACTTTTTTCTCCTTTCATTGGTGATATTTTTTCACTATTCATCTTTTGTTCTCATCTTTTAAGATTTTTATTATCTACTCTTTTCGATTCTTAATGAAGTTTACACTTTGATTTCACATATATTAAGGAAATAAATTTGACTTTATTGTAGAGTACACTGTTTGACACTGTTTAGCACTGTTTGACACTGTTTAGCACTGTTTGACACTGTTTGGTGTAGATTTGTTTGTCAAATAAGGCAAATAAGAAAGTGTAAAGTTTAATATGGAATGACTCAAAAAGGAAAGTGTAAGGTTAATTAAGGACCGGAGATATCGTTTACATTAACCTTCTGTAAGTAAAACTAAAGCATATGCATAATGTACACATACAATCATCATTGTTTTTTATTTATAAAAACAGATTCAGCCACTTTTAATTGTGAATGTTTTATATTTTTAGTAGAATCATACAGTTCATAATTTAGAAATGAAATAGTAGTACTCATATCAGTATATCTTGTCTATATTTTAATCTTATGAAGTAATTTCTTTAAAAGTGCAGAGTACCTATGTGTAAGTATTTTATGTTCTTTTATTGAATGGAGTCCAAATGACCCTACTTTTTTATAATAGTACTTTACTTAAAATATACTACGTATTATTTTAATAGAGAAAAAATATCTTTGTTTTATGTACTTTTAAATAGGACAATGTCCCTTAACTACTTTTTACGCTATTCACTACTCATTTTTTTATGATTCAGATATCGGTGTTTGCGCTCCCATAATCATGGAGTCTACGAACTACCCTCCAAAGCCCCTAGACAGGTAAATCCGGATCTAATCACAATCAGCCTCGTTGATACTGGCTCCACAGGGCGAATCCAGTAGGACATCCAAAGCCTGGCAGGCCGCATAGCCCAGCTCCATCCAGGGGGTCCTCCTACCACACGAATCCGCAAAGCTGCATTACCATCCTCTCCCTTCTTAGCCGCTGAGCAACTCCGTAAAGGTAGGAAAAAATCATTGGGAGCAAGACCTCCCTCACCTTCCTTTTGGTGCATAACGGGTTTCGAATACGAGACCTCACATATGCCCGGTAACCTCACAAGTCACAACTAAAATAAAAAAAGGTATTACCGAAGAAAAAATAATATTGTAATAGAAACAACGCCTTCAATATCTTCATTCTTCAACTTTGAGAAATCTACTTGTGCTTTTCCACAAATTTCTTCTAAGCACACATGGAGGTGGTTCCGGAGGAGGTACTGCAATATGGTGAAGACTAAATTTGTCTTCCTATTTTATTCAGGTAATCATATATGTGGAGTCAAAACTAATCTTTGAGGGTGACCGCCCCGTAGAGCATAAAACTTCTCTGCTATATATGTAATTATATATGTAATGTTTTAATAAAAATTTCATACTTCAATTTGATATATATGTGTTTGTCTCCATTAATTTTTAGTTTTCAAAATAAATTTATAGTTTTAAATACAGAGTACTATTTAATATGGGTTGTCAAAGAATAAGAAAAAACTAAAACTAATTTAGTTTAGTTTTTCTTAATGAGTATCAATGTTATTAATTTATTGATTTCAATAAATAATAGAGCAACTCTGTCAACTCGTTGATTTATTTAGGACTTAGGATACTGATTATATAATATAGAGTACTGTTTTTGTATAGTTTCTTATGAATAGGTAAGAAGTTACTTAGATTTTGTAAAACATCAAGTCAAACTATATACGAAGATATTAGCCATTAGTTTTTTTTGATCGTATTAGTCATTAGTTAAATAATTTTGAGTAAAGTAAGGTGAATCCAAATATATACTACTTCGTTTCAAATTGATTTGCAAATTTGACTTTTCTTGATCAAACAGTTTCATTTTATTTGCTTAATTATGATGTCAATTTTTAATAATATTCTAATTTGGAGTTTACAAAGAGATTTTAATATAGTTTCTGAATATATAAATTTTGATTATTATAAATGTAATTAATTATCGATAGGGAGCATTGACTTTTTTATTTGTTGATAAAAAAATGTTGACTTTGCAAAACAATTTGGGACGGAAGAAGTATAAAAGCTTATGACACATTAAACAAATGATTTACTTCATTGCATAAGTAATACTATGTATTGTTTTAATTATTCTATCATAAATGCAAACTCAATATATTGAATGTAACCAATAATTTGGCTACTATAAGAATTTCCCCAGATAAAAATATGACTAGTTAGTTATATTTTTTAACAAAAATATAACTGGTCACTACATATGAGTAACTGAACAAGAATGCTATAGTCTATATATTTCTGAGTGACAAATCACCGGTAGATTAAGTGTCACTGTGAACTAGTAATTGAATAGGGAAAAGACACAAATATACCCTTGTAGTATGGGGTGTGGGTACAAATATACCCCCGTTCTATTTTTCAGAACAAAAATACTCTTGAAGTATATGCTGAAGTACATATATACCCTTGAAATTTTAAAAAGTGCAAAAATACTCCTCATGTTCTTATAAATAGCAAATTTACCCTTATTGACTTTAAAAAGATAACATAAATTTAGAAAAACACAAAAAAATTATAAATTCGAAATTTAAAAATAAAGATTTATTATTATGTTAAAATATCAACTCTTTAATTTTAAATTGCAAAATTAATATTTATCTGTTGTAAATGGAACACTTCAAATTCATTAATTTTAATTTTAGTCTTGTTGTGAAGTTTAGAACACATTGTTACATTCTTTGATTTTGTTTAACCTTAATAAATTAAATTCACTATTTTTAAATCTTGGACTATTTATCATCATACAAAATATGTAATTTTTATAGTGCAAAGAATGCAAACAAATTAATACTAGTATTATTTTTTACATTGCGATAGTAAAGTATTGTTTTACAATATTAATTTGTAATGTTTATATATTAAAATGTTTTGCAAAATCGTTATTTTTTTACATTTATATAGTGAAATTTTGAAATAATGTTTTATACTAACAATATTAAATTGTGATATGCAAACAATAAAAGGGAGAATCGGACACAAACACATTTTTAAAATTTTTAATTTTTTAATTTCGAATTTATAATTTATTTTTGGTATTTTTCGAAATTTAGTCTATCAATTTAAAGTCAATAAGGGTAAATTTGCTCTTTTATAAGAATATGAGGGGTATGTTTGCACCTTTTAAAATTCCAAGGGTATATATGCACTTCTACATATACTTCAGGAGTATATTTGTTCTGAAAAATATAACATGAGTATATTTGTTCTCACATTCATACTATAGGTACAGGGGTATATTTGTACATTTTCCCTAATTGTATATGTCATTTTTTTGATTTTTTTAAAACAAGTCATATTTTTGTCCTTTTTCAGTAAATCATATTTTTATCTTTTAAATTTAATTTAGTAATACTCATGGAAAATAATAATAGTCATGTAGTTTTTTTTATCGTCAAAACGGCTTTCATTAAAATAGAGCAAACATGCAAGACAAAATCCAGACACTTTTTAAAGATCCGATCGCAAGCCCTAGGAATAGACTTAAAGTTAGCCACTCATACAAAGCAACCTGACTCGCTAGACACAAAATGGGCAATAATAAGCCTAAAATGATAAAAAAAATGAAGCACTGCCTATCAAAAGTTTATCAAAAATCAAATACTCGAACCATACCTACTCAGTGGCGGAACTATGTTGGGGCTTGGAGGGACTCGTGCCCCTGCTGTTCCTTTCTTTTTCTTTATTATATACTCCCTCCGTCCCGAAATAATTGTCCTGCATGCTTTCTTTTTCGATCTGTCCCGAAATAATTGTCTCATTTCCTTATTTGGTAAATAAATCTATACAAAACAGTGTCAAACAGTGCAAAACAGTGTCAAACAATGTCGCTACAGTGCCAAACAGTGTCGCTACAGTGCCAAACATTGTCGCTACAGTGTGAAGTCAACTTCACTTTCTTAATCTGTGTGAAAGTCAAACCGGGACGATTATTTCGGGACGGAGGTAGTACGTAGTATGGATAAACGTAGTCTGTGGTAATGGTGTCGTCGTTCCTGCTCAAGTGCTATGTGCTACGAAGTATTTGTAGCTTGATAATTTAGTGAGGTGCTTAATTTTAATTTCAGATTTTACTTGATTATTACTAGCTTGATAATTTAAAAATTCTTGGAAATGATAAGATTTAAGGCCCTGGATTTTTACGGTAGGGTTAGATTCTTTCCTTGAAGAGAGTACTTCATTTTTATCATTTTTTAAATTTAATTTAAAAAAAAAATCTAATTTTTTGTGTGTTGTAATAAATTTATGTTATAGAAAAAGAATATAGAAAAACAAGAGTACTTATGTTTCACAACGGCTTGGTGTATTAGTAGTATACACAATGTTGCAGCCTCTTCGCACTTCCTCTTGCTGCCACCCCCTTTGCGAGAGACAAGAATTTCAACGCCGCAACAATCTGCTGTCACGTCGGAGACCTTCTCTTTCTCATTATGTGCCCCTCCAAGTTTTGCGAGCTGGTTCCGCCACTGTACCTACTCGAATTGAAATAAAAACAAGTACTACTAAAGAAAAAATAATACGAAAATAGAAAGTTTCCCCAAATTGCTTCTACGCACGGAGGTGATTCTGGAGGCGGACGAGCTGCTCTAGTATGAGAGAAGAGAATTTTGACCCTGGATATAATTCATCGAAAACCCTATCATTCTTGTACTCACCAATTTGCTCTCGCTAATTTGCTTCTTGAGATTTGCCATTGAAATCCATGTCTGAGATGCAGAAGAAATATGTATCATGTTGCCTTTGTAACTGCCTTGTGATCCATCTGCAATAGAAAACGATTGAAGCTTCAAACC